CTCCCTTGTCATCAGCTGACCGCTTACGTGGTGGGTATGGGCTAGTCTCGGGCTAGTTTTGGATCACAAGTCTGTAAACATGATTTATGGCATTATGTTTTATAATTTATGTCGCATATGACTACTCTGAGTTACAGTTTTTCTTAGTTTTTCACATTTTTTGAGAAAAATTCTAAGAAAATTAAAAAATCACCTCCATAAATTACCTCCCTACACTAATTTCCCTATCAAAAAAGGTGATACACGTAAAAAACGGAGCAAGGTCTCTGATAGAAAAGTTGTGCACAAAAAAAAAAAAAAAAAACACCTTTGTAAAACCATAAGCTACTTTGGGAGAAAAGAATTCTAAGTAGAGATTCACGATCTAGAATAACGACTATTTAGGACACTAATAGCTAGCACGTAATATTTTCAATTTTGGTCAACTTAAATAAATAATTTCGAAGTTAACTTCAACTCATTTTTCAACTCAATTATTATCCTGATGTAAACAAATTTTAATATAATAAACTCTGATAAACTCTAATCTCTATTGATATTATTTGATGCCTTCCCCTCCCAATTAGATATCCTGAATAGGCGCAGATTCAGGGGTTCTTACATTAATTTCGTGATTGTTATGATTATAGCGTATTATTCAATTTTCTCTTTACCGAATTAATTCAAGGGCACCAGTCATATGCACGTTTATACTTTTAAATCGAGTCGTTTGAGATAATATTCTTATTTTAATATTATTATGAAGAATATTTTTGTATAAATTATATACGTAGTTATAGGTTTATTATAGACGAAAACGTGCCACGTCCACGTCTAAGCGTCCGGTAGCTGTTAGTAGTTTCTATCAACAACAGCTTAATACACCTATATCATAATATAACTATATCATCACCTATATCTATAATACATACATATCATTTGTAATAATATTATTAGTTTCACCTACTACAGACATTGTATAACATAAAAAGTAAAATGAAACTTCGCTGTTGTGAGAACAGTAATTGATAATAATCATTACATTTTATCTATAGGGCAGTCGATCAAACAATCTGACTAAACCTGCAATAAGAACAATAATTAAATACCAACCGGAGCTTACGGGGATCCATAGTCGATGGTCTACGGTCGTCCGTCAGATTGTTATCGCTAGTGAGTTTTTAATCTATAATAATAGTGAAAATTAAATATATTGCCATATCAATTATGTTCAACAACAAGTTTTATTTTTGTGTATCTGATGTTCCTTAAAACGAGAACCGTCACAAATATATGAATTGTGCCAGGTACTCAGCGGGGCGAACGACCGATAACGAATGTTTTTAAACTCTTTACTTCCTCCAAAACCTGGTAAGATTTTCGTTGATTTTTTTCTAGTGTTATTTCCATTCATTTAAAACTAAATGTTTACATTAATTTTCTACAGATAGGTTTATCACTTAATTTTTTTTCATATACGACGCCAATTTAAGATAAGGGGTTGAGAGTGAGTCCTATGATCCCGGGTGCCGGCGTTTTAAGGGGCCCAGGTAAATAACACAATTTATTAAAATAAATAAGACAAATAAAATATTTTCTATTTTATTACATAGTTAAGAAGTACCTATAATGCACTGTATCTCTAATAATAATAATAATAAAAAGATCCATCTCTGCTAATAAGTAATAAATAATTAAATCATTTTTATTATAAAATTATGAATTAAGTTCACTTTTTATTACACATTATAATATGTATCTCATTTTTTTTTAATTAATATAAATGCGGCATAAAACAATTTTTAAAATATTTAATTTATATTTAAAGTAATATGCAGTAAGTTTTATAAAAATTACTTCTTTCTTGCTTTTACTTCAGCAAACTTATCAATTAAATCCTCGAAGTTAACCTCTCGAGCTGTTTCTCGTTTGATAGAAAGTAATGCTAGGCCACTTAAACAATCTTAGGTCATTAAATTTCTTAAATAGCCTTTAATCATTTTTAGCTTGGAAAACGATCGTTCCGCGCTTGCAGATGTTACAGGAAGATTAACATTAAATATCTACCGTCTGAATTTTTAGGAAAAAGCCCTTTAGCTTTAGGTTTACTATGTCCATTTTCAATTATAAAACGTTTAGTTTTAACATCTTACACGATTTCTTTAAAATGACCAAGATCCGTTGGATCGGAAGAAGTTTCAATAATATTTTTAAAAACAATATCAATTTATTTTCATTCGTACCTTTAAAAGAAAAACATGGTAAAATGTCAAAGGTGAAGTCTTCAAGGTCAGTTTTTTTTATTTATTTTATACATACAGTTTATTTATTATGAATAAAATTCACGGCAAAGTACGAACCCCGAAGACATAATCGATCAACTAGTGACGGTGACGACACAATGACTAATCACAATTCACAAGATAATATCGAAAAACGATGGATGTTTCAGCCGGGCTTGTATTATAACGAACCGAATATTCGACAATCGTCAATACGGTTTCCTAGATAAGAGGGTATTACCGTTCTAAATATAGGGTACGTTTAATCCGTTCCACAATTTTATTATTGTCGTCAAAGAGCAAACACTGTACATAAAATAATCCATAAGTGACTGTAATAGATTTTTCTAAATTGTAAATTCAATTTTTTTAATATCAATTTAATTTTACAAAAACATTGTTTTTCTAAAGATTATCGTTTTTTTAAATTTTTTTAATATTATTGGTCTATTTTTTGGACCTTACACATTCCTTGATGGGCCTTCTAGGGTCATGAGCCCGAGGCTTTTTGCCCGTAATGCCACTCTATCGATACGCCACTGGTGTGCATTAACTTAAATTATCATCTTGTCAAATTCGTTTCTTCGTACTCTTGTATCTTTATTATTAAAATTACAGAGAGATTCAAAAATAAATACAAGATTCTGAGAGCAGCGAAGAATGTATTAATTTCACTATGATATGATAACAACTTTTCTACTAAAAATATTGCTCCAATTAAAAAATATATGTACAGGATACACAGATGATCAACATAACTTAAGACACTTATCTTCTGGAAAGTAGTATTTTTCTTCAAATTGTTTCACTTTTACGTTTAGGTAATGGGAAAGTGTTGAAACATTTAAAACGCCGGGAGCCGTGCTACCACACAAATGATACACCACTACTCTCACCCCATTGAAACTTAAAAGTGGAATGTCTCGTCAATGAGAATTAAACATTTTAACATCAAAATAGATTTTAACTAATACTTAATAATTGTACGGCATTTTCAATGTAGTTTGAAATTTTAAAATCAAAAGTATGTAGTGACTTCACCCCCTAAGATAAGCCTGATGGTATAAAGAGTAATGTAACATTTTAAAGCTGCTTATTTCTTAAATGCTCTAGAAAACAAATTAGAAAAAAATTGTATACTTTCCGAGATAATCAGTGCCTTACGTTATGTTTATCACAATGTATAAAAATAAATGATTACGATGAGACTTTGTAAATTAATCACAATAAGGCTTCTGATATCGGAATAGAGTACATAATAATTAATAAACGTGTGATTTTCATATTATGATCTGCAGGCTGTTATTAGAATTTCTTTACAATAAATTTCCATTCTTGTATATTTTATAAACTATTGTCTATTACCTACAGTTTGCATCAAAGCTTAACTAAATAAATTGTTGATAAAAAATTTACAATAGGTTAAATATAGGTTCATCAATTTTATTTGCCATGGTTATAAAAATCAGGTATAATACAGGTATAATAAATTGCATTTAAAAATTCATAATTGGTAATTATTTTTTGTTGGTGTTTTAACAATAAATTTAATAATTTACCGATTACTATACTGTCGCTACACTATATATTTTCTACTAAGTATGTATGTTTATATACGTATGTAATAAATAATAATATTCCGCTTTCAATACTTTAATTTGATATTGGTTTTTAAATAGTCACAACAAATATAATTTATGTATATACCTATGCTATAATATTGAGATGTCCCGGTTCGGTCGGCCTTCTTTGCGCGGGGGGGGGAAGAGAATTATTGTACATGATGACATAACATATCCGCCGACGCGGGCGTAATCTATTAACCGGTCGATGGTTGGTATGCTTGTCCTTTGATAACGGGAAATGGTCGTTTTTGGACGTTACAAAGTTTTTTTGTATTCACTATAGTACAAAGTGTCCGCGTTCTACTTTTTCTAGCCGACCGTACGAAGTGTTTCAAACAATATACAGTACCTACAAAGTGATCGTTTACCAAAATGATATAATATGGCGAAGAATAGAGTACTCCATTTAAGTGTCTACACTCGATATTTTGAAAAATATTGACTTTTTCAGTTATTTCTTTTCATTTTGGTCACCCTAGTTGAAACGACTTCCTACTTTTGAATTTAAAATGACTTCATGTATTAAAATTTGCATAAATAGATGAAATATTAGTTTGAATAAATTTTAATGTTAACATTTTTAATTACCATTAACTAGACAAGATATTCTACTTTTATGTTTGGATAGGGTATGTGACGACACAGTGCACTCTACAACTCCCCTCTAACCAAATATTAAAGTAAAATATTTCGTCAACGAGTAGCCGGAGATCAAAAATGTCAACATTAAAATGTATTTAAACTAATATTCTATCTATTTTTTAAAAAAAATTTTAACAATCAATACTTTTCAAAATATCGAGTTTAGACACTTAGATTGAAAATCCTGTATAGTTATACTCAATTTGACACTATATTATTGCTTTCTATATAATACTGTAAACAAAATAATTCAGATCCACAAATAATGACTACTACTTGAAAAAAAAAAAAAAATCTCGATATGATGAAAATATTTATTTTCGCCTAATCATAAATCGGTGTGGAGTGGCCATTAAAGAGTTACCTAAGTAATTCTAAATATTATCGATAAAATACTATTGCGGCTATCTCAAAACAAATATACGCGATTTGATGGCAATACGTATATAAAAATACACACACACCTTTCAATTATATTTTGAATTTAATATTGCGATGAAAAATAAAATCGCATAATGTGGCATAAATAATTAATTCTATATCAAATGGCAATATATTAGTGTATAGAAACAAAAAATACACACATCCTTGACGTCGCGAGAGCTGAGTACTACCTACTGTTATTGTCGGTATGCATACCGAGTCGTTATTGGAATACGTACTGGTGAATTTCCGATGGGTTTTCGTGGTTTTTTTTCTATTGCCCTGTACCGTGCTGGGAAAAATATGGACCATCTTCGAACAGAGCACGTGGTCGCGTCGTTCCGGACTTGACCACGCGAAGAACGTCAGACGCATCCAATACGCGGTGAGACGATTTTTTCATATTCGACCAATAAATAAGCAAATAATTAATTGTTTTTTGAACTATTAAAAAAAAAAAAAATATTTTTTGTTTTTAAATTCTGAGCATAGTGAGGAATATATTTATTTTACTATGAGGTATTTTTTTTTCTATTTGTGAACAAATTATCTACAAAAAATCTTTGCTCCCAAGTATCAAGTGTAACACTTAGGTTTTTTGTTGTTATTCGGTTAAACATTATTTTTACAAAATACTTTTATTGATCTTTTGTAGACTTGTAGACGTGATAAAATTTTCAAAACATTTTAGCTATATTTAGACTATTTATAAGTATTTAATATGTTCGTGTTTATATATGTATTTTTATTTGATAGATGTCTATTGTAGAAATTATATGACTTGTCCAAAAGTATTAAAATTTTAACACAAGGTTCCTTACTTAGTAATCTAAAGATAAATTTGGTTAATGCTTAGAGTTTTATATATATGAGCATTCTAACTGTTTAAAGAGACTGAAAAAAACTGTCATAAGATCAAATTTTGACGAAATCGAAAAAATTACGGCATTTCAAAATATGTCTTACCGAAATTCGCACCGAATCGTTTTTTGTTAACAATGGTTTATCTTTGCGTATACAAATATAAATTAAATAATCTTATATATCCTCACTTCTCAACTTCCCACCTACAACAGTGGCTGCACCCATCCCCTGTATCAGCTCATTTTTTGTTATTTTTTTGCAGATTCGACGGAGAAATAAACATGCGAACGATCGACTAATGTGCACGGCCAGACCCAGCTGGAGAAGTATGACTATAGCCAACATGGCTTACAAGACATATATGTTCAACGTGAACGTTCATCTAGATGGAATAATTTCGATCGATGCTCAAACTCGGGTATGAAGCGACGGATTCGCTAATTTTACTATATCATTTTGTATTTTATGAACAACCTGTATATTATTTTTGTATAAGTTTAATAATTTTGCTTGAGAAATATATCACGTTTATTTGTTCGCAGACGGTCAGAGTGGAACCGGGTATTACGATGGGCCGATTGATTCCGATCTTAATCCAAGAAGGGTGGACAATACCCGTAGCGTTGGATATGAAAGACTTGACAGTCGGTAATCGCATTTAGCATATTGATAACAATTACCAGACTGCAGTAGTAATAAACGTGTTTCGGCGATGTAGTTTTGAACAACTCGGTTACTAATTTAGCGAATAAATTGTTTTGACGATATTTTTTTACAACTGAATGCACATTTTGACAACCGGTTTGTCGGAATCAGCATATAGTTAAGAACTTCGTTTACTCTCTTCGGTTACTAATTATCCATTGCCGGAAAAATACTTTACAGTAAACAAAACGTTTTGGCGATATTTCAACCAAGTAAAAAATAAAAGCAAATTTTTAACCAAAAACCAAACCACACCTAATGATTTGAATGTCCTGTAATAAAAATCTCTGCACATTTGTCTACCTCTCTGACTCCAATATATATATATAAGGTTCATTTAATTATTTTACTATAATATTTCATATATATATTGTTGACTGTATACATCACTATATACTGATTTCCGCTCAGAATCGTTTTTTTGTAAGCAATGTTTCATCGTTGCTTACAGATATACATTAAATTCTCGTCTGTATCCTACCTTCCCAACTTCCTACCTACACCAGTGGCTGTACCCATCCCCATTGTCTTACCTTTCTTTTTTTAAATTTAAACTTTAGAAAAAAGACTAAATTGGTTACAGATAGGAGACTATAAAATTAATGCCAAATAGATAGAAAACGTACAGAGATTTCGGTTAAAGAACATAGAAATTATTACTAGGTACCAACTGTTTTATATTATAATGTGTGATATTATTTTTTTTGAAATATAAATAGGCGGTCTTATTATGGGCACCGGACTTGAATCGTCGTCGCATAAATTCGGATTATTTCACGAGACGTGCACGCGTTATGAACTGATTACGGCCAACGGCGATTTGATTAAATGTTCAAAGGTTTTTAATGATTTACTTTATAAGATATTAAAGTTGTAAAATATTTATTTATTGTTATATTGTGCAGACGGTAAACCCTGGCGTTTTCGAATCCGTACCGTTATCGTACGGTACACTTGGGTTTTTAACAGCCGTGGACATTCGAATGATACCAGCAAAAAAGTACTTGTATTTACTCAATCTCTAATCGAACAACTGTATTAACTTGTCGATCCAACGATATTATATTTTATGTTTAAATTATCTTTTTAGATTTGTAAAACTCAAGTACACACCGATTCGTACGTTGGACAAAATCGAATCCAAACTCATAACGGCGACTCACGATTTGGAAAATAACGATTTCGTTGAGCTATTGATATTCAACAAAGACGAAGGCGTTTTGATGACTGGGAAAATGACCAACGACGATAACTCAACGGTAACAATAATATACAACAACATACATATTATAATACTATACGTTCAATAATTATTCGTAATCGTAATGTTAACCGGATTTTACTTATATTGTATTTAGAATCACGTGAATCAGATCGGTCGATATTTTAAACCGTGGTTTTTCAAACATGTCGAATCGTTGTTGATAAAGTGGAAATGTTCAGTAGAACACATTCCTTTAGAAGATTACTACTTTAGACACAATAAATCTTTGTTTTGGGAAATTCAAGTAGGTACCTACTCAACAATATACTGTTGTAATAACAGCACAATTTATTAATCCAGTAATAGTAATAACTATCTTAATTCAATATTTTGTACCTATACCTATGTAAATCAAGGACATAATACCTTTTGGAAATCATCCGATTTTCCGTTATCTGTTGGGATGGTTAATGCCGGCAAAAGTGGCTTTACTGAAATTGACGCAAACCGATGCCATAAAACAGTTGTACGCCAAACACCATTTCATAGATGACTTTATCCTACCGATTTCCGCTTTAAAAAAATCGGTTGAACATTTTCACAACAACGTTAACGTAACTAAACCGACGAAAAACACTTTATCTATTTACGAGAGTTAATTAATATATGGTTAAAATAACATAACAACTGTTTAGATCTACCCAATTTGGGTATGTCCAACTGTTTTACGTCCGGGCAACGGTCTAATGTGTTCACGCGATACGATAGCCGAAATGTACGTCGATATCGGTTTGTACGGAGAGCCAAAGGTTTCCGATTATAATTCGACAATAGCCAGGAATTTAGAATTGTTCGTACTCGAATCAAAAGGGTAAAAACATTCAAATATAATGTTATATACTACGACGTTGTATTCAAAGTTAAATATAATTGACAATCTAACAATTATTATATTTTTTTAAATGTATAGTTTTAAAATGTTGTACGGCGGTACGTGTTTGAATCCCGACGAATTCAAGAAGATGTTTGATCATAAATTATATGAGCAAATACGAAATCGTCTTAAATGCGAATCGAACTTTCCCGAAGTATACGAAAAAGTAAATAGAAAAGTTAGGATATAATAGCTTTTATTACTGTGGTATCTGTGTATTTCTGAATGTAATATAACATTTTATATGCAATTATAATAAGTGTTTTAGTACAATAATGCGCATTAAATACGTATACCTAATTGTATTTTTACCTATCTACCTAAATATTAAATTTAAAGTGAATTTGTTTGTTGAAAACTATAATTATATTCACGATCAATTTGTCCATTATATATTTTCATAAAAATGTAAATTTAATTATTTCAAAATGGCCCAAAGTTTGCACGATCAAATACACACATTTGCATAGTAATTCGGTATATGTTGTTCGGTAAAATATACCTATCATACTTAGAATATTATTAAGAAAAACCATGGCCGTAGCAATCATACATTACGCCCGGTGCGAAACTTCAAAATGCGCCAGTATGATCTATAAATTCTAATGATAACTCAAAGTTAAAAATGTTCAGAAACTATTATAAAATTAGTGATTTTTTTTTTATCATAATAATTTTGTAACCGTTTTTTGGTTTTATTTAAATCAATACTTTTTAAAATATAAATATGTATGTAAGTTATTAACTATAAGTGACATAATATGTATTTTGTTAATAGGTGCATCATGTTAATAACATTTAGATTCCAATTTATTTAACTTTTTTCCCAACGAAGTCTTCAATGAGTTCATCCACATCTAATAATGTATTGATCAATGTAATATGTTCAATGTACAAAATAGCTAAATCACAGCTAGAATATAGTAATTATCCTGAACATTTGCATCATGCGTATAACGTGTGTGTGCGGGTATAATTAATCTCATAATTTAATTTATTTTAATTTATTAATCAAAATTATGAATGAATAAATTTGTTTGACAAATACGTAGATTGTTAATATTGCACAAGGAATGCATTGTTATTATTGTCAGAAATTCCGTTTCATCCGATACATTGTTTATTCGTATAAAATAGGAATCACGGATTGCACTATCGATTTTATATAAATATATTACTATTGGAAATTATTTTCCACCAATTATTAATATCTATAAATGAGCTTAAATGTATTGAAATTATTAACATAAAATATTAAATTTTCATTTTTACGCCCTACCAGAAATTGCGCCCGTGACGTAGGCACCGCTCGACCCTTCCCCCTTACTACGGCCCTGGGAAAAACCAACATACTAAAGGTATATTTTAGAATTTTAATATAATATAGGGATGATGAAATAAACGCGTCCGAAAAGGATTTTGAGTGGAAATCGGAATTCGAATTTTGACACTGATGCTTGCAGCTTGTCTACTTAAATTTATTCACGTTTTGTATACACTGTCAGCGAGAAAGGTTCTTTCCCCTCGAGAAAAAATAAATATTATTGTAAAACCGCTTTAAGCTCTGCCAGGGGGAAAAACTAAAAATAATAATTTCTTATGCAGTGAATTTATTATTTTGTGTTTTTTTTTCCAAATATTTTATTTCAATAGACATATATCAGTTTGTGGGAGTGTTTGAGGTTAGGTCTTTGGAGTTCTCTGTTCTATCAGACATATCTCATAGGTGGTTATTTAACAACTAATCGCACTACCATTTTCTTTATTTGTACATAATATGTATCGAGTTTTAGAGCACTAAAAATAGCTTTATGTATTACGACGATAAAAATTAATTTACTTGATGATTATAAGAAACTTCAGAAAAAATTTGATATCTTTTTTGAATTTTTTAAACTAGTTGGGCTTCAGCTAAATATTTCAAAGTACAATATTATGTTTATGACATACACAGAATGTCACTCCTATTTTTGGTCTTACAATATATCTGGTTCTCAGCGATCTCTTATTTATAATTTTGATGTTCAATTAAAACTTCTATTGAAGCTCTTAATCCTAATCATTCAGAATTGTCAAGGTCATTTTAAAAATACCTCATTATTGGTTACATTTTTATGGTTTAATGGCTAAATCTTATTTCGCTGTTTGACCGTAGGCATGAAACCTACATAAAATGTATAAATGATGTACACCTCTGGTATTAGCGATTCTTTATTAATCTTAACTTCATTGAACTGTATAGTTCCTCCTCGACGGACTCGATCATCTTTTCCATTTTTTATCCCAGTATCCTTTACCCACTATATTTTAAATGAGCCAGTTCGTAGATTAATGCAATCAACTAATCATCAGGACATCATCTTTTTACTGAAAATTTAAATATATCATCATACTAATTATTTCTATTGAAAAAAGCTTGTCCGTAAACAAATAATAATAATAATAGAGGCAATCTTAAGATTAATGTATACAACCTGTTTTATATGAACAGTTATATGATCGAGAAATTATTTGCGAAAATGGTGTTAAAAAATAAAATATGTTTTTTATGCGTTACACACAATATATAGTATATTTTTATACATATTTTATTATTTTATAACGTCCAACGCATCAGATCATGCTTACGATATTTCTAAATGTATAAAAAAAAATCATAATAATAATAATAAAACAAAACGTAATAAATGTCCGCTTTTATTGCACATTTTTATTTACTATATATTATTATGGGCTACCGTACGTTTTTGTCCGAATAATATAGAATTCTATTTTCGATGTGTGGAATTTTTACTATCTGTAAATTTTATCGTTCTTTTTTTATGACGACTTAAATTTTGTGTACGATTTTTATGCTCACACACACACACACACACATTGTGTGTGAACACAAAATTAAATATTATATTACAAATGATGTTTATACTCGTAACTATTGTACTCTGTAGTGTTTTATACCTGATTTAAATTAAAACATAAAACATTTTAGTTTTCAAAATAAGTTTATTATTATGAATGTTTAAAGTACTTACTTAACACATAAGACGTGAACGAAAGACAGATTTCACAATGAATATGTGCGTAATATAAAAACGTGTTTTAACCTAGAAATTGATAACACTCATTATTGCCAACTATTATCACATCTCTCTTTTGTTTCAGTCAAACAAAATAAGAATACTTTTTTTATAAAACAAACTAATTAAACAAAACAATTATATTCAAGAGGTTAATACCACTTGAATGTAACATAACTAATTAACTCCAAAAAATATTTTCTTGTTTTCCTAATTTGAATCTAAACTGGATCACCTGTTTCAAAATGTTCACTATTTGTTGTTATTTTATCATACAATTATTTCTTTGGCCTCTTGGTAAGTTCTTTGACTACTATCTTTAACTTTAGAATTTTCTATACTTGAATTTACTAATCTCACGTTTCTCTTAAACAATATATCAGCTGGAGCTGGAATGAGTTTACTAATTAGAATGTTTCTATACTTCATCAGCTATTTGTTCCAATTAAGACTATTTTCTAAAGCTTTATTCAACATTTTTTTAACTGTTTGTACAGCCCTTTCCAACATTTTATTATATTAAGTATAGAGTGGGATAAAGCTGAACAGTTCCACGTCAAAGTCTTTAGCAAACTGTTTGAATTGCTCTATTTATCAATGAGATAGGTTTATTATAAATAAATAAATTGTTGACACATAATGAAAAAGAAGAGGTTTTGAGCAAAATTTGGGTTCCTGATATTAACTACAATTATCCTATTAAAATATCAGTACTCGATACCGAGCTCAAGGCAACGTTGAAATGGAATCCTATCTGGAATCCTCAGGAAAGATAAAATATACTAGTCAAAGAAATCAAAATTATATGATTGATGCTCGTAAACAAATTTTATTGAATACAATTGTCACGAGAGTAAATACGGCAAAATCTTTTTCAACTGTTATTGATTAAACTGTGGATTATTACGAGTATTAACATTATTTCTTTATTCGGATTATAATATTGTAAAACCGGGACCTTACATAAATCTTCTTTTAATTTATTTCAAATATTTTCCTTATTCAGGCCCCACTAAAAATTAGAACTTTGTTTTAGAAAATCTCTTAATAGTTTTGTTTTATCTGATGAGGTATACATTTTTCTACATAAATATACAAAAAATTGTTTGATTTTTAAATTAAAAATTGTTTTTGATACCTTGGTCATTTATTTAATAACTTTTACCTTATTGTGCTCCGATAGTTCTTATAAGATAATATTCTGTAGGTTCCATTATAACCGTGCCGCATATTTTATTTTATTTTACCTATCATTGGTCATATTTTATATTATTGCCTACTTTTGGTGATTCATACCCAACGAAGAAATAATAGATACAAATCACCTATTACTATCAGCTATATTTTTTACAGGTGATTTATATTCACCGAGGTAATAATACATGTGTGGTACGAATCACCTGTAATACCAGTCCCGACAATCTTAATTAATTTTATCATTGAATTATGTATTTCATATTTACAAATTAAAAAAAAAAATTCGATAGAAATGAAATCAAACCTTCACGTTGCCACTCGTAGAAGATTGCACATAAAAAATTCTCTATATGAGCCGGTAATAATATTGTACACTAGAACACGACTTTCGGGTACTGTATAGAAATTATTACAATAGACTCTAATTAGATACACAACAGAAAAAAATCGAAGAGCTCTTTAAAGATAATATACTAGATAATTCACTAAACTCTGTACCAACCATATCTTTGTATAGCATATGAAGATTAATGTTTATACCATAATCCTTAGTCGAAACACTTATAAACGGTTATATGAAAAATTAAATGAAATAATCGATATCAATAGGAAGGCATTATAACAGAAGCAGATTATCTGGGAAGCCAGGAATATCGAAAAGTGAATTTCCTCACGAACCGCATTGTTTCATTATATGAAATCTATTTAATTTGTACTGGAATAATTATAGCAAAAAAAAGCGGACGAACATATTTCACACTACGAATATGCCTAGGAAGGTAGGATATAGACGGGAATTTAATTTATATCTGTACGCAACGATTGATCATTGTTCACAAAAAACAATTCTGAGAAGAGTTTAGTCAAAATTATTCATTTTTCAATAATGTGCATTTTCATGACAATGATTGTTTAAAAAAGATTAAAAACTAAAATAATAAATACTTAATAATAACAAAAAACAAATAAAAACGTTTGCCGCTAGCAACCTTATTTTCAATCTTTTTTAATCCAAAGAACCAGTTTTTCCTCATTATCTCGAATATTAATGTGAATTTCAAAAAATAAAAGTACTAACTAAAACCAAAATGTAACAAAATAGATCTCTTGTCATGTTTTGATTGGAGCAAGATTTCTAGAAGAAAATTTATTTACAGACAGAAAAAAAATACACATCATAGTAAAACAAATAGATCTTTCGTTTTACTCAGAATCTAAAAAACAACATTCTCGTGGCCTTTATATACCCTACCCCAATAATTATCGAGCATAGCAGCTAGTACATAAACATACAGAGACGTAAATTTTAAAATTTGTAATACGTATAGGTGCAAATAGTCCAAATTTTTGGGGAGAGAGACTTAAGTTCCTGCCAAAAATTAACATAAAAAAGAAGATGAATATGCCTCCCCCTTTGATTCACATTTTCCATAATTCACATCCAATCAAACTCTTATATTATATACAAAAGTTTTAATTTGTTTAAATAATTATTTTCTATTTCACGTCGAATATCATATCATAAGAATGTTTCGAATAAAACAGAATTTGAACAAACAACTTTTCAAAATTATCGCCAAATAAACCAATTAACGATTCTAAAATCCGCATTTTAAACTTTTACTGGACATCTAAAACGTGCAGGTGGGATAACCATAGAAACGGTAAATAGTATTATCAGGGCAATATATTCCATTATGACATGTATACCTATTATTATTTGTATAAACTTACATGAAAAAAAATTTAAGATCTACAACATTTATTGATTATATCAGTAAACCATGAACGCGGAAAAAGTCGACATGGTGACGGAGGTGATTAACGACACTCTGCGGGATCTGTTGAAACCGTGGAACAAACCGTTCAGGTGGGTAGAAACCAGGGCCGGCGTGAGCCGATATAAACAGCTGCTGATCATGGTGATCGGCGTGTCGTTTTTGCTGTTATTTGTTTGGGTAAAGACTGCCATGGTGATCAGTAACGTGATAGGTTTTGCGTTCCCGGCCTACATGACGATTGCGCTGATGATGTTGCCCCGGAAGCCGGAATCGTACGCGAAGTCCTCGGCCGTAGCCATCAACAAATGGCTGGTCTATTGGCCCGCGTTCGTCGCCATCATGATCGTGGAACAGCACTTAGGATTCATACTCAGATTCGTGCCATTCTACCTGCTGTTCAAAACGTTATTCCTCGTCTGGTGTACCGCACCCTTCAAGAACGGCGTGGCGATACAGCATACGAAACAGAGCCCACATTTAGAAAAATACTACGACTAGTCATCTATATGTCATATGTCGTATCCACTTAGTGTAACCGTATTTTTCATGAAATAAATGTTCATCATAACGTGTAAGTCAAATTTTAGTTCATAAAACGGATATATATTTTATCCATTTCATGAAATGGAAACTCTTATTTTACACTTTGTGTAATATTTTAAATTAATTACATCAATAGGTAACATGAAAAAACCAAAAATACTTCGTAATACCTCGTTAATTACGTGTTAATTAACGTTACCTCGTCTAATTAAAATAATTAAATCANTCATTAGTTTTTTTATAAATCAAAAACTTTTGATCTGTAACGAACAGGACATCATTCATTTTGATGAGATAATAATTTCGCCTCTTTTTTTTACCACTATAAAATAATGTAAATTTCAAATTATAAACAAATATTTAATGTAAATATTAAATAATATTATTTAAATATTTATTATGGTATGAGCGTTGTATTCTAACGAGAGAAGAGGAATAGAATTTACAAGTGAACACTAAACACAGAAATGATGGACTGAAAACAGATATTGATGTCCGGCCGGTCCGGGCCAACAGTGTTGCAATATTGCTTTATGTTATTATGTCCTGTCATACACCTAAGTATATTTGGTATTTTTTGCTAACCACGTTAGTATTATAAGGTTTGTCATGTTTTTATTCCAAATAGATAACATTATTAATAAACAATTACTTAGTCTAATCTTGCAGTTTGTGAGCATATTATATTATAATGTGTCTCACGAGGATTGGCGGGAATTGTTTAAATAACATTAGCCTGCTAACACTTTAAATAAAATGGCTTTAGTTAATAAAATTTCGATATTCAATTTTAAGATTAGGTACCGGGAAAACAATACTATTTAAAGTGAATTATTCATAACGTTACCGGTATGCCTATTTTGACTAGGATTGCTAAATTCTCACCTATAACAATATCCCACCCAGTAGTAAGTATGTTTAATTTTAAATTTGTAAGTTTTAATTTTATGGTGAAAAAGTAAAAATGACGATATTTGAAAACATATTCAACCGAACTTTGCGAAGATTGAAGATTTCAAAGAAAAGGTATTTGAGAGGCTTCTTTCGTTCAGTGGATTAAAATAACGGATTAAACATATTTAAAATAAGGCAAAATGATTTAGAAACAATACGTAGATATAAACTATTATCAACATAAAAGTTCAAATCTATATAATTTAATACTTTATTATATTATTTTATGAAACTTACTAGTAAAGAAAGTAAATTAAATATTGTTGTTATTATGGCGATTTTTTTCCTGCTTGATTGTACGAATATAATAATAAAGGGATCCGTCAAAGTAGGTATACCGGCAACGTCGTTATGAATAGTTCACTTTAATTAATATTTTTCTCCCCTGTTTTCATTTTCTTAAAAACAATGAAGTGCCAACCTTTGTTACCTATAGGTATTATTTTCAAAGGAAAAATATAATATTGCGGATGATTTTATAATGAATTTTATAGATAATAATGTTGATAATACTAACAATAAAACGCGCAAAAGTTGCCACAAAAAGTAATAATTGTTAATACTTCGTTTTAATAGATATCATACAGGCGGCAAACCTGCTCAAAATGATCCATCGAGATACATTTTTATTATTTATATTATATTAAAAATTATTTTTAAATTGTATAATTATCCGTAATAATAATTTTATATTTGGTAAAGAAATCCATTAGATATACGTATATTAATAAACAAAAAATTAATACCTGATCTTAAAAATTAATATCGACATTTTTATCAACTGAAACCATGAAGAACCGGGATTTGTATCAGGGGATCACAAACGTAGAGACAAATTTAATTATTATTTTCATCCTTTAATAACTAAAAAAAAATACTTTTTATTTTTCAAAATATTCATTTTAAAAAATATATTGTTCTAAAATTTTGTATGCATCATACATTTATATCCGACAATAGATTTTAGTTATAGGTAGCCGTTTTAAGAAATTAAAACGGCTATTACTAAGATTGGATATGAATGTATGTACATGAATTGTACATTACAATTACATATTAGAATAATTTATTTTACAAATTGGCTGTTTCAAAAATGTTGAAAAGTGAAAAATAGTTTTTTGTTTAGCGATTAAAGGGTAAAAACAAAAAAAATTATTTTTCTCTACATTTATGTGATCCAAACAAAAACTCCGATTGGAAAAAAAAATGAATATTGATAGAATTATGAATTAGACTAATTGTTTAATAAATATATTATCTATTTGGAATTAAAACACGGCATACCCTATAGTATGAATGTGGTTAGAAAAAGATAGCAAAATGTACCAGCGCGTATGATAGGACTTAAACAGTATGCTATCTTTTTTCTAATTATATTGTTATCTTTATTGTTAAATTTCTCTGTCACTTGCACACACACTATAGTAAGAGTTGTATACGGACTTAAATAGGTACGTGGAATGCAATATTTTTTTAACATTATTGGCCTGGATCTAACCGACATAACTATTTACTATCCGTCCATCATTTCTATGTATAGTGTTTACTTTTATATTCCTAGGCCGGGTTCCAGAAATGTTCTTTAATAATTTACAGACCTAACACATTGGCAGATCTGTAATTAATATTGGGTGTTGCTAGAACATTCCATATAGTGCTAACTGCTCTGTAACTTACCACTTATAGGACCTGTAATTTAAAGGTCCAATTATTTTTTACCTGTAAATTTTACTGATCAGTTATTAAAAATATGGAAATACGATTTATTATCAAGAATTAACTAGATTTATTTTGTGAATAACTGAATAATAAAAATGAATGAGGGAATCTTTATCAAGACATTGTATACCTCAAAAGCATAACAGTTTAATATTAATATGGATGCATCAATTATTCAAAGTTCAAATAAGTATGAACTATGATTTATAAATATGAAATAATGAAATAAGCAATATTTGTTTGCAAATCATGATAAGAATTTTTATCAGTAGGTACCTTAATCACTATTTAGTGCTATCAAATAAACGAGGTATAATTTAGCCGATAAACATTGTTAAAATTAATTTACAATTGTTTTATGTAACATTATATTATAGACAGCACTACGTGCATCATACGACAGCATCTATATGCAGCCCGGACATGTTAAATTCTATTTCTATTCTGTCATTAGAATACGACGTGAACTTTTGTGCACTCGGTACAGCTTTTTCTATTACGATATAAAACAATAGTGATGGTAGGACGTTACCTTGTTTTAGGCCTGTCATAACTTGGAATTCTTCAAACAATGGATTATCGATTCATAACTGGTATTTTGTATCATTCATACATAACTTTGTTAGTGAGATGAGTTTACTGTAGACGTAATTTATACTTAACTTGTATTTAAATGTTTATTAAATGTTGTTCAAATATCAAGAATCTTCATTTAACATAACACTTTGTACATTAAATTTTAATAATTATAGATATTTAACATCAACAGAAGTTGTAGAATCTTTATGTGTATTGTATACCTATTATTAAAAAATTATTATAGGTGTGCCACTGTTTTTACAAATTACGGTAGAAATGCCACCAAAATCGGAAGAAAGAGATATCGAAAAAATGGGATTATTATTTTGATCCATATAAAAACCAATTTTTGATCAGCAAAATGGGATTCACTGAAGTGGCATGATACCAAAAAATGTACTCACAATCGGAACAGATCTGAATTTTGATTTTGAGATTGCCTATGGACCTGTGACTAAATGTTTTCTGGTGCAAGGACTTAGCCAAATGTCTAGTTTACCATACCCTTTAGCCGGCGCTGTGAATTGTATAATACAAATCACAATATTATTCACAGTTAAAAATTTAAACGAATTACATCTGTGCAGACTACGAAGTACTGAAATGTATGTACTGTACAAAACTTTAACGAATAACTTCCACCAAAAACTTGATTTTCTTTGTAAGTAATCAAAATATAATTATATCATGTTTATACTTCTTGCAATATAATATTCAGCTAAGTATTGAAAGTAACTCTGCACAGTCTATAATCTCTCAAAAAGTAAGCTCTGATACACTTAGGTACGTAATACTTAATATAAGGCTTACGCGTTATACTTATATACTATATATTATATATACTGCATAAACTAAAACAATTAATCATCTTATGCGGTTACATAATAATATATTCCAAAACAATAATACTATAAATAATCATAAAAAACTAGAAGTGTATTTTTTTTTTTTTAGAAAATCGATATCTTCATAGATAATTAATTTCAAATAACATATTAATATAATTAGGTATACATAATTTTACATAAAAGTATTCAATTTTAGCAACAAACTAATAACAATTTATATTTTTGGTAGAAAACATCGTGAACATAAATTTAAAAAAAGGGAAAACCTATAATTTACCTACAATTTTCTTTCAAGTTTTTCCCAATTATTCTATAAACCCCTTAAAAAATCAAAAAATAACATTTTCGTTGCACCAAATTAGAAAAAAATACCTTTCATAAAAATTTCTACACTCTAGACATCATGCATAAGTATTTATTGTAGAAAAGTTGTCGAAAAAACATACAAAAAAGAAAACGCAGTAAAACGCTTAAACGTTCTGAATCTAAAATAAACACCATTGTAAAACCAATACATTCTTCGCTCCGCTAGGAATCTAAAAAGAGTTTTCTTACTTTTAAAATTAAAATAATTATGAAATATATATATAAACTAGTATAGCTCTTTTACTTGGATTCTAATAATTATATAAATTTCAAAAGAAAATATATAATAGATTTTGTAGACAAAAAAATTGATTCCGTGTAAGACTGTTGTTTTTTTATAATACTGTCAATGTTCTTTTTAATAAAAATAAAAAGTCTTATCACTTGTTCGTGTGTTAATGATTCCTTTGTAGTTTAAGTACCCCATTTTGAGTGTAATTATAGATACCTATCACATTGATTTTTGCATGAAATTTATACAAATTTATT